GACAGTTCCTGAGGAGTTACCATGTAAGTACACTGTTAGTACAGTTGCACAGAGGTTTGGGTTTTGCATAATACACAGTAAGTTATGACCATTTAACACTTTATGTTAAGTGGACAGTTCCTGAGGAGTTACCATGTTAGTACACTGTTAGTACAGTTGCACAGAGGTTTGGGTTTTGCATAATACACAGTAAGTTATGACCATTTTACACTTTATATTAAGTGGACAGTTCCTGAGGAGTTACCATGTTAGTACACTGTTAATACAGTTGCACAGAGGTTTGGGTTTTGCATAATACACAGTAAGTTATGACCATTTTACACTTTATATTAAGTGGACAGTTCCTGAGGAGTTACCATGTTAGTACACTGTTAGTACAGTTGCACAGAGGTTTGGGTTTTGCATAATACACAGTAAGTTATGACCATTTTACACTTTATATTAAGTGGACAGTTCCTGAGGAGTTACCATGTTAGTACACTGTTAGTACAGTTGCACAGAGGTTTGGGTTTTGCATAATACACAGTAAGTTATGACCATTTTACACTTTATATTAAGTGGACAGTTCCTGAGGAGTTACCATGTTAGTACACTGTTAGTACAGTTGCACAGAGGTTTGGGTTTTGCATAATACACAGTAAGTTATGACCATTTTACACTTTATATTAAGTGGACAGTTCCTGAGGAGTTACCATGTTAGTACACTGTTAGTACAGTTGCACAGAGGTTTGGGTTTTGCATAATACACAGTAAGTTATGACCATTTAACACTTTATATTAAGTGGACAGTTCCTGAGGAGTTACCATGTAAGTACACTGTTAGTACAGTTGCACAGAGGTTTGGGTTTTGCATAATACACAGTAAGTTATGACCATTTTACACTTTATATTAAGTGGACAGTTCCTGAGGAGTTACCATGTTAGTACACTGTTAGTACAGTTGCACAGAGGTTTGGGTTTTGCATAATACACAGTAAGTTATGACCATTTTACACTTTATATTAAGTGGACAGTTCCTGAGGAGTTACCATGTAAGTACACTGTTAGTACAGTTGCACAGAGGTTTGGGTTTTGCATAATACACAGTAAGTTATGACCATTTTACACTTTATATTAAGTGGACAGTTCCTGAGGAGTTACCATGTTAGTACACTGTTAGTACAGTTGCACAGAGGTTTGGGTTTTGCATAATACATGTAAGTTATGACAGTTTAACACATTGTATCAAGTGCAGAGTTCCTGAGGAGTTACCATGTATGTACACTGGTACCACAAGGGAAAACTTTAGCTGTAATTCAACATAAGCCCTGCCGGTCATATAGTAAATACATGGTATACACATAGGAATCATCATGGTTTCAGTGTGTTCTTAACTGGTAACTACAGTATGGAAGACTGCGTGTGGAAGTGGAACAACTTGTGTGAATACATATTGTTGTTACAAAATGTAGTTACATAATGCCTGTTACACATGTGTACTTACTGTAGTGGAAAAAGTGTTGTTACCAATGTCCTGTTACACTTTTGTACTTACACATACCTTTCCGTGGGTTGTTACATATGTGTAGTTACACAAATATTACAGTTGTAAATACTATGTACCAATGTGTATTTACACTGTAGTTACATACTAAGTACATATCTAGTAACCATGTAAGTACACAGGTATTAGGGCCACTTAATATAAAGTGGGACCAAAGCATTTATAAAAGCCAGTCTATTGAGATAGGCTGCCTATTGAGTAGGCTACAAGTGTAGTTTTATTTAGCCACTTCCTTACACCTTGCAAGCCAGCAACAGACAGTAATCAAAAGGTCTTCAGATGACGTGCATTGCTCCATTCATACGCGTATGAATAGCGTAGGCCTATGAATGGAGACACAGATCTGCGGTTGCACCATCTCCTCATTCTGGTCATGATGATTTCAGGTGGGTCCAGAATAAATCAAAACCTAACATTTCATTTGTCTGGTAAAAATGTATCATGCCAACTACACAATTAGAAGCCAATTCAGAATTAATAGATACATAAAATCAATTGCTAAAAGTATGAATTTAAGAATAAGAAATGCATACCTGACAGTGGAGAAACACACACAGCAGTGTGTAAGTTAGATTCATGGGTTTCCCTTACCCGAACAAAAGAATATTTACTACACCAATCATTTTTTGGATTTGTTGGAACCTTGTATTGGGGAGGGGAGCCATGATTATCAGATATCTTGAAGAGACACTACCCAAAAATGAGAACAGAATTCTCCAACACTGTAAAAAGTGATCAGTTAACACAAAAAAAAGTGAGGAAAACCATCCCCTTTAAAGGGGTCATATAATGCCATTTTTGTACAAGCTAATATGATTCTTTAGGGTCTAAATTAAAAGTTTGTAATACACTTTAATTAAAAATTCTCATTAGATTTGTAAGAAAACACTTATTTTAACTGGTCAAAAACAGCTCTGTTTTCAGCACGCCGTTTCAGTGCATATGCCCTTAAATGATAATGAGCTTTGCTCACCCCGCCTCTCTGTGCTGTGCGTACACCGTTTGTAACTCAATAACACAATAACCATAAAGCCCCGTTCACACTACAAGCGACTTTGTCGCTGCATGTCGCCAGTGGCTGGCGATGAGGTCGCTAGTGGGAGTTCCCACTACTGGTTGCCTTTATGAATGACATCCAATGATGTGGAGAAGGATCACGTGCTCCGCTCCTATTGGTTGTCGCTCCCGAAAGTCGCTCCCCATTTGCATAAAGTTAAACAGATCTCAACTTTTTCGCGTCGCCAGACACGCCCCATCCGGTCGCTGTCGCGCGTGTCGCCGGAAATCGCCAGCTCCCCATTGAAATGAATGGTATCGTGTCGCTTTGTCGCTTGTAGTGTGAACGAGGCTTAACACGTTGTTCATTATAAACGTGGGGTTATGAATTATATTGAGAACGTCGTACATAAAAAACATGCCGTATTGTACCCTGAGTGTAATTTAGACACATTCATGGTGAAGTGTGCAAGCGATTTGCAAAGATTAATGCATAAGTATTAATATAACGGTTAACTCCATCAAGGTCAGCTAAGAACCTTGGGGTTGTAATTGATGATCAGTTGAAATTCACAGAACACATTGCTAGTACTGCCTGGTCCTGCAGATTTGCCTTGCACAACATTAGGAGGATCAGGCCCTTCCTCCTTACAGAGCATGCCACACAACTCCTTGTCCAAGCACTTGTTTTATCCAGACTGGACTATTGTAATGCTCTCCTGGCTGGTCTTCCAGCTTGCTCTGTCAAACCTCTACAATTGATCCAGAATGCTGCAGCCAGAGTAGTCTTCAATGAGCCGAAGAGAGCACACGTCACTCCTCTACTCACACAATTGCACTGGTTGCCAGTTGCCGCTCGCATTAAATTCAAGGCACTGACGTTTGCCTACAGAACAACCACTGGCACTGCTCCCTCTTACCTAAACTCATTACTTCAGACTTATGTGCCATCCAGAAACCTGCGCTCTGCTAGCGTATGTCGTCTTGTGGTACCATCTCAAAGAGGCACAAAATCTCTTTCTCTGACCTTTACCATGGCTGTTCCCTGTTGGTGGAATGATCTGCCTAACTCAACCAGAGCTTCTGAGTCAGTAACCACTTTCAAGAAACTGCTGAAGACATATCTTTTTCGGCAGCACTTGATTCAGTAGAATTAACACTTTCTCTTCTCTTCTATTCTATAAAAAAAAACTGCACTAAAATTAAACTGAGAGGGATTATAGCACTTACGTATTGTTGTCCTACTGTTAGTTTAACTGCTTCTATTGTTCTCATTTGTAAGTCGCTTTGGATAAAAGCGTCTGCTAAATGAATAAATATAAATGTAATAAAACGTTACACTCACTTCAGTTCTTCTGGAGGTTCAGCAGGAACACGAATATCTGGTACCGATCCTTTATTCAGGAGCAGCTTCTTAGGAAAACCAGCTTTATACTGACCCTCCTTTAAGCCCCGTTCACACTACACGCGACTTTGTCGCTGCAAGTCGCCAGTCGCTGGCGATGAGGTCGCTAGTGGGCGTTCCCACTACTGGTTGACTAGAATGACATCCAAAAGACAGCGAATCAGCTTTCTTGCCATCCATCACTGCAGGCCCAGGGGCTGAGGAGAAGGATCACGTGCGCTCCACTCCTATTGGTTGTCGCTCGCGAAAATCGCTCTTCATTTGCATAAAGTTAAAAATTTCTCAACTTTGTCGCGTCGCCAGACACGCCCCATCTAGTCGCCAACGGTCGCTGTCGCGCGTGTCGCCCGCTCACCATTGAAATGAATGGTATCGCGTCGCGTGTAGTGTGAACGGGGCTTTATAAAGCAGTCTGGTGAGAAATGATTCGCGCAAACATGAAAGCATTGACGTTGCTCGTGGGGAATATATTTAGGAACATTAAAATGACTGCTGTATTCCTTATTGCACCCAAAAACAGAACACCACAATCGCTTAGACACCATTCTGCTCATAGACAGTGCTCCAGCATATCAACAATGACCGCGCCGGTCCGCGCAGACTATGATTGACAGCTCGCTCACGAGCGAGGGCGGGTCTGTGTTGAAACGCTGCTGTCAGTCAACAATCGTGGGAGGGGCTTCCGTTTTATTGACGTCACAAAAACGAACGGCTCGATTTGAGACGGGAAAACGTAAGGAAATTAAAAAAAAAACTGGATGGATTTTTATCATTATATGATGGTTTTGTACAGGCACTGCCAACACACATTTCAGTACAATCAACTTGTAAATGTGCATGTATCATTATATGACCCCTTTAAGTAAATAAACTTTATGCGTAATTGAGAAACTTAAGTTATGTGAACCTGACAATTCCACATAACTTATTTTCAATTAATTCCTCACTTTTTCGTAATCAGTTATTTTGATAAAAGATTACAAGGGCACATGAATTAAAACAATTAATCAATTTTGATTGCATGGTGACTTTAAAGGAAGATCACAACACAGTGGATAACATATTTAGTTTATTACAAACAAATGAATATGTGTTTAATAAATCCCATGTGTGTGTTGTGCTCCATCTCTGTAGCGGTCCAGGTATCTGAGAGGCTGTCCGTGAGGGTATTTCTTCTGAGGTGGGTGATACACCGGAGGTCTGTTGTACTCAAACACCGGCTCTCTCATATCTGTGGAAATAATAAATCAAGTACAACATGAGCTAATCAGTTGTTAGAAGATAACACTCATAACCCTGTTCTTTAGATAGATTCCGGGACGGATGTTGACATCACTGGATCACAAATCACATGTGAAGTGTTGCCAAGATTTGCCGGAGAAAGAAGCATTCTGGGGTCAGCTGCATAAACTTAGCTACTGTGGCAAGCTTTATGCGTGCGATCGTGCGCTTGAGTGCGGCTATAATGCTCAATATCCCGTATATAGCCTATTTAAGTAGGCTAATTAAATCAATATAAAGGGGCGATTTGTCCACTAATGGCTTAAATGAACAACTACTAGTCGACTAGAATAAAAACTTTAGTCAGAGGCAGTTCTTATTCCACATATTCTCGAACCAGCAGGCCATTCTGTGTTGAGCGCGCGAGCCTGAGCTGAATGAGCGAGCGGAGGAATATTCAGAATGCGCTCTCCGCTCACATGCTCTGATCGGAACAAAGAAATATTAAAGTAATTATCATTAGTTTATATCTTATACACTGCCCATACACTACCCATCATTTTAATCCCATATCAAACACAGTATGTTATGTCTATTTTATCTATTTAAAAAAATATATATATCACGTTTTTAAGTAGGCGAAAGGCAGAGAGCTGTGTGTATTCTTCTTCCCTTTGCCACATCATATCTCTGTGAGATGGGCTTTTCAGCTGTATCAGTTTCACTGAAAACAAAGTACAGATCTCAGCTGAACATTGAGCTTGACTTTTGAGAAATTGTGCAATTCAAAACAGGCTCATTGCAGCCACTAATGCAGGGATAAATAGACCTGTCTTGCCAAATGGATTTCTATTCTTTTATTTTTTTAACAGATTGCAAAGTGGCACTTTTATTTCTTTTCTATTTTTGAACTTGATACCAATTTTGACACAGCCGCATTTTATTTTCTCTATTTTTTAAAGACTTTTTTTTTTTTTACTAAAATTGACTAAAACTTGACTAAAACCTTTTTTTGTTTTCGTCGACTAAAACTTGACTAAAACTATTAAGTTTTTAAGTGACTAAAATGTGACTAAAACTAAAAAGCATTTTCGTCCAAAAGACTAAGACTAAAACTAAAAGGGCTGCCAAAAACAACACTGTGGCGGTACCACTTTTAGCATAGCTTAGCATATATCATTGAAGTGGACAAGACCATTAGCATTTCTTAAAAAAAAAAAACTTGACTCTTCTGTAGTTACATCTAAGACCGACGGAAAATGTAAAGTTGCGATTTTCTAGGCTGATATGGCTAGGAACTATACTCTCATTCCTGCGTAATAATCAAGAAACTTTACTGCCGTACCATGAGAGCAGCAGGCGTAATGATATGACGCAGCGCCTGAAAATAGTTCCGTTGTGTTGACGGAAGGTGGCCTATTTTCAGGCACTGCGTCATATCATTACGCCTGCTGCACTCATGGTACGGCAGTAAAGTTTCTTGATTATTACGCAGGAATGAGAGTATAGTTCCTAGCCATATCAGCCTAGAAAATCGCAACTTTACATTTTCCGTCGGTCTTAGTGCACGATGTAACTACAGAAGAGTCAAGTTTTAAATAGGAAAAATATCGAAACTCTTTGGTCATTTTTTTTTAGAAATGCTACTGGTCTTGTCCACTTCAATGATGTATGCTAAGCTATGCTAAAAGTGGTACCGCCAGAAAAAAAAGTGGAGTATCCCAGGAAAAAGAAACTTTAAATATGTAATTTTGGTGATCAAAGGTGAGTTTTAAGGGATACAATTAAGACTGTCTTAAGAACTATTTTGACCAACTAGCAGCAAAACAAGAAGTACCGGTAATCAGTCTAATTTTCTGATTAAAATTAGACTGATCTACCTTTTTATGTAACAGACTTTAAAAAGTTAGAACCAGTCTTGAAGAAAAAAATTAAATGACTAACTTTTAAGACCATTCTAAGCAGTTTATGCAACCAGTCAATGGTCTGGGATGAATAAGCCCAAAACATTGTACATTTTCATTCCTTGAAGAGTTTTTTAGGCTCTTCAGAAAAAGTGCAACAAGTTTCTTACTGTTGCATCAAAATGGCATTGACAGACCCACATCCCACATTAAATAATGATAAAGCAGTCATTGGTTTTGTCTTATAGGTGCCAACTATATGCAACTGTATTCTGGAAATAAGCCCCCCCAAAAAAACACAACCCTTGACTGCCCAAATCAATAAATGACTTCTTAAAAAACAAATCCAAAGTTGTTTATCAGTGCAACTCTGTACACACGATACACATTGTTTTGAGACATGGAAAAAATAGTAGACTAACTAGATTTTCTGATTAACTAGACTAACTAGATTTTTTTAGATTAACCAGAAAATCTGCTCTTCAATACAAATAAAGGAAATTTACTCACTCAACAACTCATGAAAGGTCTGAGTGACAGATTGGTCCCATTGGCACTGGAAAAATGCAAGACCAGCTGGGGTAATAACATCCTGATGTTTCCTGTAGAAGTCCAAAGTTCGGAAAGTCCGTTGCATCAGACAGTAGCTATAGATAGGACAGAAAGACAGATTTTATATTTCTGCAAATGCTGAAAATAACTTTGGAAAGCACTCTGCTTTGTTGAAGTTGAAGGGGGTTTTTGTGGGGTTTTCTAAGCAGTCCAAAACTAAATACAAAGAACATCTGTTTCACTTCAAAGGCTGCATATTTCATCAAGGATGTATTACCCTTATAAAACTGACTGTTATGGCTCGTTTCCACTGAGTGGTACGGTACTGTACAGTTCGGTTCGGTACGCAATTATTTGCGTTTCCACTGTCAAAAGTCGTGAATGGTACCAAAAAGCCGAACCGTACCGTACCACTTTTTGGGTACCCTTCCGTTGGGGTACCTAGCTAGCACAGTGGTACGGTACTAAAAGGTGGAGCTAGACTCACTGCAGAACGCTGATTGGTTGACAGAGTATCGTCTCTTGCGCGTGCTACAAGGGCATTAGCAGCATACAGTTGAAATATAATACTACTGTTATTGTGTCACGAAATGTAGTTTTAAGAGTTTTTCAGGTGAGAAAGTAGTTTTTTAAAGCTCAAATCTGTGGTTTATTTATAGATTTATGATATGATAATTTTTTATGAATTATGATGATTTGAAGATCCATTCCAAGCAATCACCGGACGCTCGGCGCTCGTGCACCCCGCCTGGAGCAGCCTTTCCCCGGCTAGTCATTCTGATGTTTGCCGCTGACTCTGACGTCTCTGTAGTGAGGTTAAACATGAGATATAATTCGTCTTGTACAGACCTAACAGGCGATCTTTGGTCTCGTGAATCTATAATTCGTTCCCTGGCCAATAGTTTTGGCAGAAGGCTAAGTGAAGTTTCGTATATTTGAGCGCTGAATTTGTATATTTGACTGAATTGTTTGCTTTATGTTATTAAAGCTTTACTTTATATCTTTTTGTACCTTTTACTTATACTTTTATAATGGCTATTATTGATAAAACTGAAACTCAACAAAAATAGATAGTTTTGTCATTTATTTTATTTTATTACAAGATCATGTTGTTTATTGCAACATTTGTACCAATGCAATATGCAATAAATTGCCTAGAATATGTTTAATATTTTTTAACTTAAACGAAAAGAGGCAGGGTTGTGTTTTATATTTAGTTTTGTTATAAATAACGTTACATACATGCAGTTAATATAATCAATAGGCTATGCGTTGCCTGAACCACATTTGTGTGCTTATAATGTTTCAAATGTATAAATTAAATCGAAAAGAAGCAGAGTGGTGTTTTATAACATATTTCGTTTTATTGTTGCCTTAAATGTAACCGGAGTAGCAGAGCGAGCTGAGTGGCGCATTCAAGAACGCGCTGTTCCATCAGCAGAATTGCGCGTCCTCGGGATCATTCTCCTGAGTCGGACTTTGCGTGGCTACTTGGTATTGAGAAACGCCTAATGCCAGCGCTTGTTTCTTGTGACAAACATGCCGAGAAGCAAGAACAAGATCTGCTGTCTGTCATCCATCGTTGTTTACTATGTCGCTTTCTTTGCGCGAAAATGACGTCGATCTCTTCTTTCCGGCAAACACCACGCCTATCAAGTAAGGGTACTGTTGGCAGTGGAAACGCTAGCCGGATCATGCTGTACCGACCCGACCCATACTGTACCGTACCGTACCGTACGCCTCAGTGGAAACGAGCCATTATTCCTTATGGGCCATAGTTACTATAATTCATTCTCATTTTGAAATGTAATGATTACTTTTCTGAAATTATGTATTTCGTAAGATAAATACAAACTTCAAAGGACAGTGCTTTTGAAACGAGATCAATTGAAATGCAACTAGTTTGTTTGTGGGAGGAAATTCGGCAAGTAGTGGGTGAATCTCAAGAAACCTTTCAAGAACACGTGCAGGTCAAATTTCTCCCCCAAAGTCACAAGAAATTAAGAAAATGTTACTTAAAAGGTACACATTAAATTTAGTTAATGAACAAAAAAGTTACAAAGTCAATACCTCATCAATCTTTTTTTGGTTTTACCCTGATTCACTATGGTAAGCATTTATCTTTTAGGCCTGTCGGGATGGTTTTGAGTACTTGAGTACATCTAATGTAGTAATTGAGTACATCTAATATATATTATAAAGGCTCATCATTACGGTTGTTGTAGCACAGTGCTGGAATTTATTTTCAAGGAAGTACCGTGTCTATTAAACTGGTTTTATACCATGGTCTGGGTGAATACTCGATTCTGATTGGCTGCAGGGTGTCCGTTAAAAAGTGATAGAGGACACCTAGTAAAGTAGTTCTGGCGAAACTGACTGTTTACCATTCGAAATTAATAAATAAATGCGCTGGCTACAACAGCTGTGAGTAACCATAGCAACAGGCAGTCAAAGTATCCGTTAACAATTTGCTCTATCAAAACAAACATCTAACGTTAGTTAGATATTACATAGCCTACTAATACAACAATGAGCGACTTCGTTATTTCTTTTAACATTTATGGAGAATATGACAACTTTGACGACTGGGATGCTGCTGAAGAAAGAAAAATGTAAATAAAACGGAGATTGATCTGATTAATTTATTGCCCTCTATAAGCGCAAACCGCTGGAGCGCAGAACTAATTGTTTTTTTGTTTGATAATTGTTGTTTGAGTCATTGTTTTATGTGTAATAAAAAAAAAAAAACTATGCCTACCTTTGTGTTTCATGAAAAAAAAAATGCATTTTTGAACCTGAAGGGTTCTACAAGCTGAGCGGACTAAAAATAGCCCCGGTTGCTAAATAAACCATCAGGCAAGTTATTATTTGTAAAAACTAGATTTAGCCTAATTAAAATATAAACTAATGTTTTAAAAATGTTTTATTTGGCAAGTGACCATGGTATAAGTGGGTTAATGCCCTCCGAGGTGTCCATTGTGAGGTTTTAATGGACTCCGCTGCGCGTCGGCCGGTTCACACCTCGCCGTCGTCCATTAAAACCTGACAATGGACACCTCGTCGGGCATTAACCCTTACATATCTCTTAAGCCTAGTAGTGAATGTTTTGTTAGTAGTAATCACTCTCTCTTTTTTTAGTTATGAGAAAGAACCATATTCATCAGTAACAGAGCCAAAAAAAACACAACCCAAACAGGGCCGTACCCACCATTGAGGTCCATGCATGAAATAAATATATCATAAAACGTAATATTTTGCAGTTTTCGTAATTAAGGCAATTTCGTAATTTTAAACATCATAATATAACCAGCCATAAGACCCCCGGATTTATGTGATTCAGGTGGGTCATACTTTTATGCTTGGAAAATACGGGAATCCGTAGAACATCCCTGAATATTCAGTCGCACAGTCACGCGGTTTCATTTTTTTAACCGCTAGAGGGTCAAAAGTTACATAGTGTAACTTTAAATTTAAAAAATCAGATGAGAATCAACTTTAAGAAAAATAGGAATTAAAATAAAAGTAAATAAATGATCTGGATTTCCGGGGGTATTATGCTTAATTGTCATGAAAACACTGTAATAAGCAAAATGTTTTAATGGTTCGTTTTCTTAAAGGGATACTCCACCCAAAAATGAAAATTCTGTCATCATTTACTCACCCTCAAGTTGTTGCAAACCTGTATGAGTTTCTTTCTTCTGATGAACACAAAGGAAGATATTTTGAAGAACGATTGGAACCAAACAGTTGGCATCATTGACTTCCATAGTAGAAAAAAAAAAAAAAATACTATGGAAGTCAATGGTGCCAAAGTTCCAGTCGTTCTTCAAAATATCTTCCTTTGTGTCCAGCAGAAGAAAGAAACTCATACAGGTTTGCAACAACTTGAGGGCGAGTAAATGATGACAGAATTTTCATTTTTGGGTGGAGTATCCCTTTAATGCAAAATATTATATTGTATTTTCTTGTAATAGGGTGAAAAAGTACCCAGAATTCTTTTCATGAGACGTATAATTGCTGTCTAGTCTGAGAGTACTACCCACCACGGCGAGGGCCGGAGCTCAGCGCTGAAATCAACTGGACCATCTTGTTTAAACAGGATGAAGGCGTATCTGTGAAACCCAGTTCCTCTGGCAGGGAAAGGGTTGATGTAATGACAGATCTCTTCTCCTGACGTCACAGCATGTCCTGGGATATTCCCACTGCAATGTTTTAGTAGTTAAAAACTGACATAACCACATACTTTTTCTTAAACAATTGATTCTTCAGTTCTGGGTTTTCCAACCGGGGCTGGGTTAGACTGATGTCAGATAATGCTGTGCTGAATTTTGTTGAAATAAATATTATTATAGCTCAAGTAATGCAGGCATACTCACACTAGCCAATGAAGATACTCCCGCTCACCATCCAGGAGGTGTTCATCTGCACAAACACACACAGCTTACTTCACTGCATCTCCATCTAGTGGAGGAACTCAAGAACTTATAACTGCTAACTTGACCAAAAAGCATTTAACATCTCGAAAAAAACAAACAATAATATAACAAGACAATTTATGAATAAAAAACCCTCCAAATATCAGACAATTTATATATAATAACATGAATCAATAAACGATTATTTATATGTATATAAATAATATAGTATATTATAATATACTGTATATATTACAATATATATTAATGATTATTTTTTATATACAGTATATCTATTCTAGTTCAAAAGTTTGGGGCCAGTATGATTTTTTTTTAAAGTTTTTTTAAAACCTTCTATTCATCAGTGAGTCCTGAAAAAAATATTGTTTCATGTTTTTTTGGAGCAGCAAATGAGCATATTAGAGTGATTTCTGAAGGATCATGTGACACAGAAGATTGGTGTAATTATGCTGAAAATTCAGCTTTGATCACAGGAATAAATTACAGTTTAAAATATACTCAAAAAGAAAACTTTCTAAATAATGACAATTTATGAATAAAAAAACCCTCCAAATATCATAAAAAAATATATAATGACAATTTATATATAATAACACGAATCAATAAATGATTAGTTATATATATATATATATATAAATAATATGGTATATTATAATATACTGTATATATTACCATATTAATTATAAATTTTTATATACAGTATATATATTCTAGTTCAAAAGTTTGGGGCCAGTATGATTTTTTTTTTTTTTATTCTATTCATCAATGAGTCCTGAAAAAATTATTGTTCATGTTTTTTTGGAGCAGCAAATGAGCATATTAGAGTGATTTCTGAAGGATCATGTGACACAGAAGATTGGTGTAATTATGCTGAAAATTCAGCTTTGATCACAGGAATAAATTACAGTTTAAAATATACTCAAACAGAAAACTTTCTAAATAATGACAATTTAAGAATAAAAAAACCCTCCAAATATCATAAAAAAATATATAATGACAATTTATATATAATAACACGAATCAATAAATGATTAGTTATATATATATATATATATAAATAATATGGTATATTATAATATACTGTATATATTACCATATTAATTATAAATTTTTATATACAGTATATATATTCTAGTTCAAAAGTTTGGGGCCAGTATGATTTTTTTTTTAAAATTCTATTCATCAATGAGTCCTGAAAAAATTATTGTTCATGTTTTTTTGGAGCAGCAAATGAGCATATTAGAGTGATTTCTGAAGGATCATGTGACACAGAAGACTGGTGTAATTATGCTGAAAATTCAGCTTTGATCACAGGAATAAATTACAGTTTAAAATATACTCAAACAGAAAACTTTATAAATAAATGCAAAAATAAATATATATATATTTGGATATACACTTTAAAAACTGCATTTAAAAATGTCTGACTGAAAATACAGAATATGTACTACAGATATCATCAGATCAAAATATGAATTTGATGTAAATAATTGGATGTACCTGGGCTGGTTAACAACAGCGTCCAGAGTGAATTCTCTTCTGCCTCGAAACGTATCCGAGGTGCTTGTGCTGCCTGTGGATGTCACACAAACTGTGGAAATCAAAGCCTGTTTCCTAGATTTCAAACAGAAACAGTCTTCACGTGTTCTGAAGCCTCACCTGACTCGGCGTTAAGTGATTCCCAAAATGCACGACTGCATCGCTGTCATCTCCGTAAGCCACATGCAGCATGACCCGCGGAAGAAAATATGCCATGGGAAAGAGGTCCTGGTAGATTCGGTAGTGTTCGGCGAGCCTCTGGATGTGGAACGGCCCGTTTGTCTTCTCCCATTGAGTCTTTACTCTGTCGAGGGAAATGCGAACTGGAAGCCATAAAATAAGAAAAGGTTACATGAAATGTCCTTCTGATGTAATGTCTAGATAGCCAGCCTATGTTTATATACCACTAAACATTTATATATTCACACTTAAAAAAAAAAAAAAAATTATTATCACTAATATTAATATTTTTTTCATTGTGACATTGTTTTTTCATTAATGCAAAAAAGGTTACATTTGTAATGTACAACTGTAGGTATATACATAATGATAGTGTTTGTTGTACTTGATTTATTAATTCATTAATTTTAAGTCCCCCTGTCGTGAAAATCAAGCTTTTAATGTTGTTTATATGTCTATGTGGTGTTTTTTATATGCTTTAAGACAAACCATGTGCAAATTCATATTCAACTGCTGAGTATTTTCTCCTTAAAACTGCAGTGAACCAAAGACAGTCTCAAAAACACGGTTTGAAATCGCTGGTGTTTCTGACGTAAAAAAAAAAACTTAACCAATCAGATCAATTTGTGATCGTCAACCAGTGGATCTCTGAGCTGAGTGAGTGGAGGCGGGGCTCATTTGCATATTCATAGAGCCACGTATACTAAATGAGGCAAGGGTGTCGAGTTACATTCAAGCTATGTTAAAGGGTAACTAAACCCCTGGTCAGAGCCTGACTCCACCCACTGGCAATATTTGAAAAATGCTGGAAAAGTGGGCGGAGCCCAGCGGAGATAGAGGGGATGAACGGATACTCTATCCTGATCGTTTTCAATACTCGCAATTCCAACTCCTGACTCGCTACAGTGGTTTTGACGAAACAAGATGGTTTTTATACTGCCATGGACGTGGTAGCTCGTACCAAGGGTGTGGTAACCTGAAACCTGCTTACATCAGCTCTCACCACTACCGTCACGAACTACCGCAAACATCCAATAGGAAAATTCAAGTGCAGTAGCCACCGTTCAACCTGAAGAGGGCAGCACTCAGACGTTTTTACACCATATATTGTAGAATTAAAACACTTTATACCCAAATGTCAAAAAAGTTACTCGAATCAATGAACAGCATTAATAAAGCCCCAGTCTTACAGATCATTAACTAAAAAAAGTTGGTTTAGTGTTTAGTCACCCTTTAAGCCATTAAGATTTTTTTTTTATCAAGAAAAAACATTTAAATTTGTAATTTTGGTTGGTGATCAAAGATGAGGAGACTTTAGAAAGAACAGTAATGAGAATTTGTTCGGTTGGAAAATGTGCATTAAATATCACAATGCAAACAATCCTTAAAATAAGCTTCATTGTTTTAAGTGAAATGCATATTTTTATCAGTTTCTTTTGATTTCTGATGCACCAAACATAAATCGCATACTTCCCTACTATATATAGGAGAAAAACAGTATGTGACAAAAGAATTATGTCCGAATTCATAGCACTCATGAATGAGTAGGAAAAGAAGTACCGGTGTTCTGACGATTCATGCTACCCATCGAGATTTGCTACTTACTGGTTATGCGCATGTGCAGACTCAGTTTTTTTTAAACAAAAGGTACATTTTCGTGTTATAATGTAATTTCTCTTTAAAAAAATGCTTACTACCATATGAATATTTGTACGGTCAGCCAGCTGAACAAGAATAACTGAAAGTTTCAGTTACTAAGGAAAGGTGTGCTTTGACAAGTCAAAGATGAATATTTGATGATAATTTTTTACTTTTCACACCGTTTTAAAAATAAAAACAGTAGTCCACAGTATACAGTAGCTACTCTTAACTTAAAATTGTATTATTGTATTCCATATAATATTAATCGACATTCTTTGTGATCGATTTGCGCTACGGTAGCATTTTTCGACAAGGCAGCACAAATCGTCAGAACACCGGGATGATCTACTTCTTCCGGTGAGATTCTGAAGTGTGCATATGATGGACACTTTACTATCCCATGAGGCCACGGGAGAGGATTTATGAATGGCAGTGAAGCGACACAACTGATGCTGGTCAGAACATGGCGAATGTAGTGCGTCCAGATTACATTCATACTACTCAAATTTTTACTATTTAGAACATACTTTTTAGCGGTCGTGAAGTAATTACTTTTTCTAAATAAGTACCTACTCAAGAGAGTATGCGGTTTTTGTTTTTGCGCACAAAAAGTATTATCGTCGCTTGATAAACTTATGGTTGAGCCACTCTTTTAAACATTGTCTTTAATAACTTTCTGGACCGGCAAGTTTCAATTACATAGAAGCCTATGGAGGAGTGAGACAGCTCTCAGATTTAATCAAAAATATCTTCATTTGTGTTCTGAAGATGAACGAAAGTCTTACGGGCTTTGAACAACATGAGGGAGAGTAATTACTGACAGAATTTTCATTTTTGGGTGAACTAACCCTATAATAATATATGCTTAGCAATTGAACCCCGCTTTCAGTTACTGTGTGACTTTCAGATACTGTGAATATTTTTCATCATAGTTCTGGCATCATTCTGCATTTGATTGTCCTGCTTTAATCATAATGATGCATTGATGCATTGAGTCACTCACATGTTCTTAGTCGATTGTCTCTTTCAATCTCTGGGCTCTTTTTGTTCTCCTGCACGATCTTCTTCCTCTCCTTCACCTCTGTCTTCCTGGAGGGACGCTGATACGGGAGGCCGATGTTGACCGGCGCAACGGCTGCTCACAAAAACAATCAAAACCTCATGACAGGGGAATGTTCACTGACAGCAATCAATGATGTCACCCAAACAAACCCACACAAATGCATCGATATTTGATATTATAGGTTATGTCATAGTGTTTCAGGGTAAATTCACAACTATGGATTTAATGGGTGTGTATTCATATTTCAGTGGCTCAGGTCCATCCGTGATGGCTTGCCTTCTTTCGTCTCCTCCTCTCTGTATTGCCTGTAGGTCTTCCACCAAACGTCTTTCCGGTCGGCCTCCTCCGCTGCTCTCACATAGCGAGTGTAGCTGCGATATTTCTCCAGAGAGTCCAGCTGGGTCCCGTCGATGTCCTCATTGGGCATCGGACCCAGAGGAGGGGACCAGTGACACAGGACAGCTACAGAAGATTCAATAGAGGAATTGTTAGTAGTAGCCTATAATAAAACGTAAGAAAATGTTGTAATGTAAATGTAATAATAAAAACAACAATTATAACATATGTTGCAGTATAAATATTATAAAAACAACAGCAATAATAAATATTATATAAAATAATAATAATTTAACTTTAATTTAGAGCATCTCAAGCAAGACGTTAACTCAAAGTGCTTCAAAAAGATAAGAAAAATAGATAAAGGACAGAAAGGTTTGACTGAAAATACAGACTAATCAATAAGTAGACATATCAAAATCAATACTGTACATATAGGTGTTAAATGTACATGTAAAGGTCATTCAGACCAGCAGACACACGCACGCACATACAGCAGTCGCACTGCTGATTATTTAACTCATTAACTGCACATTAACGTAAATATCCTCCAGCACCCCTCACCGGTGGACCGAAGACCCCTCACATGATGCTTCAGGCTCACATCACCCGCCGCCCGCAGGAGAACACACACCGTTCCGCGCAGCGCCATGATGGACCGCTGCAGCAGAGACGCCGAGAGAGTGACGTCTACACACAGAAACGTGACGTGCGTGCGTACACGTCATCGCGTCTGTGCGCTCCTGCATATGGAAGGCGACGAGATTCGCTCATGAGAAAGTCAGCGCGCGCAGGAATCGGGATTTTACGTTTCTTCGCATCTGATGAGTAAACAATCCTGTGAGTTTTATGAAAAGGAGTTTGTCGATAGATAAATAAATCTTCTGCTTTAAAAATAGATGTTATTAAGTGGTGATGAAGGTACAGGTGAAGTTTGTTTATGTTCTGTGTCTCGATGTTTCCACCACATCAATTCACCTAACAATTAATAATGACTATAATTCATGAGTCAAATGTATTTTATTCAGTTATACATCATATATAGTAGTTATACTTCAACATGAACACTGATATAGGTGCTCAAATTCATCCATCCTCCCATCATCTATCTATCTATCTATCTATCTATCTATCTATCTATCTATCTATCTATCTATCTATCTATCTATCTATCTATCATCTGTTTGTCTGTCCTTCTATCTGTGTCTGTCTGTCTATCTATCTATCGTTTGTTTTTCCTATCTATCTCGTCTTTTTCCTATCTATCTATCTGTCTGTCTATCTATCTATCTATCTATCTATCTATCTATCTATCTATCTATCTATCTATCTATCTATCTATCTATCTATCTGTCTGTCTGTCTGTCTGTCTGTCTGTCTGTCTGTCTATCGTCTGTTTTTCATTTCTTTCTTTCTTTCTCTGATCTTCTGTGACAACATGAACCAATAGTGTTTCTCTGCAGTCGTTAACATTGTTGCTTCATTTATTATTTTATACCTTTTCAGGCTTCCAGGTTTATGATGGAGGATCACATGCAGTGCACAATCTGCTTAGATTCGTTTAAATTCCCAGTGACCATCCCGTGCGGTCACACCTTCTGCAAGGTCTGCATCTCCAAATTCTGGGAGACCAAGGACAAAGACTTTCACTGCCCTGTTTGCAACAAAACCTTCGTCACGAGGCCTCAGCTGAATCGTAACGTGTCTCTGTCAGTGCTATCGGAGGTGGCCGCCACACACAGTCCAGCGAAGAGAGACTTGTGCACAGGAGCCTCGGTCCACACGGAGCCGGAGCAGATCTGTGAGCGGCACCAGAAGCCTCTGGTCATCTACTGCAGGAACGACAGCATGTGTGTTTGCTATGAGTGCACTGTGATCGAGTGTAAGGGACATGATGTGATTCTGGTGGAAGTTGAACGGAAGAATAGAGAGGTACAAACACACACTACCAGGATACCTAAATACTGTATCATTTAAATAGTATATCATGCATTACAATAATGAGAATTTGGGGTGCAACTAATGATTCATTTTCACTACAAATTTGGAAATATCACTATCACAATCTTTTCTTTATGCAAAATATGTTTTTTATTCCTTTCTTTAATTTTAGAGTGCAATAGTTTGATCTTCAGGTTTTGTGAGATTCAATCTGTTGTCCATTTTAAATATTTGTTGTTGCTGACCGTTTTGTGAAATTTTATGATAATGTTTGTACCTTGTATATCAGACAACGTTAATATTTTTCACATTTTTCTTTTGGTATGCAGGCAGGATTAAAGAAAAAGAGTGCGGAAATCAAGAAACTCCAGGAAGCCACCGAGAGGAACCGTCTGGAGCTCATGGAAAACATGGAGAAAGCGAAGGCAAGGCATCTCCTATCATTGCCATCTTCATTAGAGACTTTATCCAACAATGAAAATGTACTCATTCTCATATCATTCCAAAACCAGATGATGGTGACAATTTAAAATAAGATTGACTACATTAGTTAACATGATCTAACAATGACAAATACTTCTAAGGATTTAATAATCTTAGTTAGCCTTAGTCAAACGGGTTGGCACGTATGGTTGGGTTGCGGAGAGATTGTGAGATTGTGGTTAGGTCACATGTGAACTACGAGGAAGGAGCAACCTCAGCAGCAGGAGGGATGTAAAGGTCAGTAAGCTGGGCTGAGTTGAGTGGGGGACGGAGGGGGGTGACTCTTGGACGCCAGAGTCACTGTCGAGCCCTCTTGAGGTGTCGTGGGCTAGTCGACGAAACACTGAGGACGGAAGGTGCCCACTTGAAGACCCTAGAGATGTCCCCTACTCGGCTCAATCCAGACGGTTGTCGTGCTATCGTTTTAATGGAAATCAAAATAATAATCAGTTGATGTTAATTTCAAGAATTACTAATACATAATTAAAACCAACATTTGTATCTGTTAATATTATTTAATGGACCTAGCAAGCTATATATTATTCATAATACATAATAATATAACTTGACATTTGTATTTTTTATTAACTAGCGCTTACAAAGATTAATAAATACTGTAAAAATGTATTGCTCATTGTAAAAGCAATTTTCAAAGGTTAACAGAATATGCATCAAAGGTCAAGAAACTTTCCAGAGGCAAATTGTAATAAAGAGTAAAGGTTTATTTCTTCTGAGGACCCCTTTCTCAACCCGCAGCTACCCAGATTGAAAAAGGAGCCCCGCTTGTTTTCCACAAGCAACACATTATATACAGTCTTTTGCATCGTAAACCCCTCCTTCCCAGGCAGGTCAAATTGTCCTTTGTTCTTGAAAAGTCAAAAAGGTCTTCATTTACAACCTGAATTACCTTCTGCTCCCCTGGGGGTATTCTCCCGATTAGACCCTTTCTCGTGGGTTCTTCAGCTGTGTAAACATGATACTAGAAAAACAAGATTCTCTGTTCTCGTAACTCAGGAATACAAACAAAAGAGAATAAAATCAAATGAGAATATAAAAATGTCCATAACACTCATTGTTAGTTAATGCAGTAATTAATGTTATCTAACGAGACCTTATTGTAAAGTGTTAGAAAGACGTTTCTTCCATGGATAACAAAAGGAGATGTTTTGAAGGATATTCACATTGCACTTTTTCATTTAATGAAAGCAAACAGTGACCAAGAGCTGTAGTGCTTAAAGGGATACTCCACTTTTTTTGGAAATAGGCTCATTTTACAACTCCCCCAGAGTTAAACTGTTGAGTTTTACCGTTTTTGAATCCATTCAGCCGATCTCCGGTTCTGGCGGTACCACTTTTAGCATAGCTTAGCATACATCATTGAAGTGGACAAGACCAGTAGCATTTCTTAAAAAAAAATGACCAAAGAGTTTCGATATTTTTCCTATTTAAAACTTGACTCTTCTGTAGTTACATCGTGCACTAAGACCGACGGAAAATGTAAAGTTGCGATTTTCTTGGCTGATATGGCTGGTAATGATATGACGCAGCGCCTGAAAATAGGCCACCTTCCGTCAACACAACGGAACTATTTTCAGGCGCTGCGTCATATCATTACGCCTGCTGCACTCATGGTACGGCAGTAAAGTTTCTTGATTATTACGCAGGAATGAGAGTATAGTTCCTAGCCATATCAGCCTAGAAAATCGCAACTTTACATTTTCCGTCGGTCTTAGTGCACGATGTAACTACAGAAGAATCAAGTTTTAAATAGGAAAAATATCGAAACACTTTGGTGATTTTTGTTTGAGAAATGCTAATGGTCTTGTCCACTTCAATGATGTATGCTAAGCTATGCTAAAAGTGGTACCGCCAGAACCGGAGATCGGCTGAATGGATTCAAAAACGGTAAAACTCAACAGTTTAACTCTGGGGGAGTTGTAAAATGAGCCTATTCCAAAAAAAGTGGAGTATCCCTTTAAATAAGGACTAAAAAGCAACATAAAATAATAACCATAAAGTAGTCTATACAAAATTGAAGTCAATAATTAACAAAAAAACTTTCATTCTGCCACAACTCTCATATCTTATTCACAGGTTTGTATTTTTTAAAAAGATGCAAGGACATGTAAGACTTGATACTTTTCGGCATGTTGAAATACAAATTTAGAGAATAAATGCCCAAAAAATATACATTCATATATATATATAAGAGAATAGGCGTAGATGAAGGATGCAGTGATATAATCGCCGCTCATGGCATGTTGTCCTCCCTCAGGTCTCACTCCAGCAGACGTCTCAGTGGGTGAACAGCAAGTTCTCACAGCTGATAAAGGTGTTGGCAGAGAAGCAGGAAGTGACACAGCTGTTTGTGGAGCAGCAGCAGGAAGTGACCGTGATGCAGGCTGAGGATAGGCTGGCTGCGCTGGAGGAGAGAACCATGCAGCTCGTAGCCCTTCAGGAGGAGATCAGCAGCCTGTGTTCCCTCCCTTCATGCCAGCTCATCAAGGTTACTGCATTTTTATCTTATAAATGAGAGACGTGACTCACAAATTCAAATTAATAATATATTAATAATTAATAATCAAATATAAAAATAATAAATGGCCCCATTTGCTTTTCTATTGATGCTACTAAGTCATTTGGTTGTGGAAAATATAATTTTTTTTATTGTTATTTTATTAATTATTTTACAAAATTGTAGCTTTTTAATTGTTTTTATTATTGTTTATTGGGTCACACACTTTAGATTAGGGTCCAATTCTCACTATTAACTACGACTTTTGCCCTAATTACTGCTTATTAATACTTAGTAAGGTAGTTGTTAAGTTTAGGTATTGGGTGGATTAAGGAATGTAGAATATGGTAATGCAGAATAAGGCATTAATATGTGCTTTATAAGTACTAATAAACAGCCAATATCCTAGTAATATGCATGCTAATAAGCAACTAGTTAAAAGGTTAGTTCACCCAAAAATGAAAACGCTGTCAGTAATGACTCTCCCTCATGTTGTTCAACCCCGTAAGACTTTTGTTCATCTTCGGAACACAAATTAACATATTTTTGATTAAATCTGAGAGCTGTCTGTCCCTCCATAGACTTCTAGCCTTCCTGTAGCTCAAATAGTAGAGCGTTGGTGCTTGCATTGCCAAGGTCATGGGTTCGATTCCCAGGGAAAGCAACAACTGATAAGAAATTCAAATTAGCGGTGAAGGTCTCACGCGTGTTCCGTCTCTTCCCATGGCAAAGGGATTTTTAATTAAATGCAATACATTTTATCTTATGTATTAACTCGTTTCATCTGACTCCATAAAATGAAAGTTTTTCAAGATATCTGTGCATCATTAAATATACGTTAATGTTTGACTATTCCTTTTAACTCCAATGAAAATAATGTCAAAGTCTGTTAGAATAATTAAATATAACAATTTATTATGTCAGGTAAAACTATTATGCCAATTTCATAATCAGTTCAAATATCATCAATACAAAACATCAAATGCTTTAGGATAAGAGAAATAGATGCAAACCCAACATTTAAGAAATACATGAGCTAACCTCACGGGCTATCTGAAATACAGAAAGAGCCACGATTCCTTGCTGCATTCCATTAAATAGCCAGAACTTCTTTACAATGGTAATTTGCATTCAGAGGTTACACCTCTTGGGAAGAGGAGGAAGACATTGCCTATCTTCCTTTGTGCCAGTTTCTCTAAACTTCTAAAAAACCTTATTACCTTTTATTTTACTCTTTTGGAATGAGACATCTGAACCACTCACTCTGGGACATTTAAAATGATACTAAACACAATAATCATTCACATTAAACCATATATATATTCTTATGTGAGTTTTAGCTGTTACTGGGTGAGAGAATGAAATGTAAATCAGGTGAGACTGCGTGAGGGGGAGGTCGAATGCTAATTTTCAGCAAGTTCCTTTGTTTCAATAGACCATGTGGTCAGGACAGTTTCTTCAACCAGTTTTACAGTCTTAAGCCTGGAACACACCAAGCCGACGGTCGGCCGTCGGGCAGTTTTTGTGCGTCTGCCGGCTGAGTTTCCTCGGTGTGTTCGGCACGGTTCCGTGCCGTCGGCTGAAATTGGTCCTCGTCGGCTTTGTTTCGGCCGATTCGACATGTTGAATCGGCGTCGGGCCGTCGGTGAAAGAGGGAACTCTGATTGGCTCTTCAGCTTAGTGAAAGAGTCAGTGCACGAGAATAATAGCAAAACAGCAAGCAAAGAAGTCAAAACTCTACAGATAGAAGGCTGTTCTTATGTTACGTCATCTTACCTGAGTGTTCCTTGGCGAATATTTCAATATTAGCACGAGCGGAGTGGAATAAAGAAAGTGTTTAGCAGGATTGATATTTAAAACGGTAAGCACGCACTGCTTTGTTTATGGTTTGTGTATCTGCAGCCGACAGCGTCGGTTTCCCCTTTTTGAATGACGAATATAGAGAATATATCTGCAGAAATAGACAGCTGTCTCATTTACACGCAAGCGCAGAACGCGCATTCTAGCTAACAGTCGGCTGTAGTTCTCTCGCTGTGTTCAAGTGCAGCTTTTTACCCCGACGAGAGGCAACGAGAGGCGACAACACAGTCGGCTTTCATCGGCGCTAGTTCGTCGGCGTCGGCTTGGTGTGTTCCAGGCTTTACAGTACCTTGAAATAAAACCTCTGCCAAATGCGCAAATGTCCAAATGTTCTATGCAATTGAAACTTGCCGGCCCAGAAAGACAATGTTTAAAATAGTCCAAGTGACTACAGTGGCTCAACCATAAGTTTATCAAGTGACGAGAATACTTTTTGTGCGCAAAAAAAACTAAAATAACAACTTTATTCAACTATTAATTTTCTTCTGTGTGGGCCTGTGAGTGAGTTCACGTAGTGTAACAGCGCAGCGCTTCTGGGTTGTACGTCAGAACGTAGGCTCACTATTGGCCGACGCTGGTCATGTGTGTGATACATGTAATGCTGGCCAATAGTGAGCCTACGTTCTGACGTACAATTTGTGTTCCGAAGATGAACGAAAGTCTTACGGGGTTGAACAACATGAGGGTGAGTAATTACTGACAGAATAAACATTTTTGGGTGAACTAACCCTTTAATGGTGAGAATTGCACCCTAAACTAAAGTGTTATCATTTATTGTTAATGGTTTCCACAGATGTACGTCGCATGTTTGTTTATGTCCCTGTTTGTGTGCTCATGCAGGACTCCAGGTTCATAGAGGTCCCACGCTTCAGGGACGTTCCTGTGGATGTGCTTGTAAGCGCACAGGAGAAGTTGACCCCCGTCACAGATGTCCTGTCCCGCGTGTCTAAGCTGGTGTGTGAGGATCTGGAGAGAGCCACACAGGTGTCCGGAGGACCGGAGAAAGAGGGTGAGTCGGGATCACACTGACCGTCTGATGCATGTCACACACAGGAATGGCTAACATCTGATTGGTTGGTACTTTGCAACTTTCACAAGTCGAGGAACACTGATTTGATTTATTGTCAGCCAGTGAACAAAGTCGTATTTACAAGCTATCAGTGGATTTGCCAAAGTTAGCCAGGTTAGCAGCATCACATTTTTCAAAGATATTCAGAGTTTAGTTTGAGGTGCTTAGTAGCAAGTAAACTAGAAGCAGAACTGTGTATTTTATAATCTAACAAAACCTTTATTTCACAATATTTTTACACTTTTGGTTAATAATGCTATGTATCACAATACATAAACTTTTTAATGAAAATGTCATGTTAAAACAAACTACAAAAAATAATTGTCCTTATAACAATTTTAAGTAATAGTAGACCTATTACTAATTTGATTAATTTGTTTATTAAAACTGTCATGAACATAGTAATGAAAAATCTGTTGCGCATGATTTTAAAAAAAAATTCAATGTAATATATAATCCGATATCGGATAAAACTACATGTAAATGGAACATAAACACACAAAAAAAATCTACGTTTATGAAAATTGAGGTGTGTGATGTAAGAAAAAAAGAAAATATATAATACATCGCAATATTTTTACAAAAATTGTACAATGTATACATTTTTATGGAGACTGAAAAATACTGAAACATTTTTTTAAATACTGAAAAAACATTATGTTCTTTGTGAGAATTTCCAAAGTAATGCTAGAATTTTGATATTTTTTAAACACATATTTTATTTGTTTATTTAACAGGGACAATACACTAAGCATTGTTACACATAGACAACCGATGCTGTGTACATAGGCCATGTACACAGCATACATGGTAAAGCTAGTTTGCGGCCCTTGGGCCCCGGTTAGGCTTTTACATAAAATCAAAACATCCAAAATAAAAAGAAAATAAACACAATTTACATTTATTTAACCAGTCATGAACATTGCAATGACACAGTTGTATAAATAAGTAATTATTTAAAAATAATGGTCTCATTCATGAAACACGAGCAGAACGATTTTTTGTGTAAATCGTGTGTAAAGTGGTTCTGGCGTAAATTTTCGGATTCATTAAAATGTTCGTATTTTCCAAATGTTAGTTGGTACACAAGAAATCTACACCTGCTCCCAGCCACGCGTAAATAGTGAGTTTAACACCCGAACGTTTTGCTCATTAATAAGGCTGCATTTTAATTCACCTTAATCGGGTACATATTTGCACAGCATTTTGAAAAAATATTATATATAGTAATTACATACGGTTTTTCTTATTATGAGAGCCAGTAATGGCATCTGCGATGGTGGTCCTTCTCCAGTTTGAATACTATTTTTCCGAAGTGAACTAATTCATTTTTTGCTCTCAAGCTTAATGTCGAACCATTTTCTTCTCACTTCTGGGAATGTTCGATTAACAGATGAAACTCCATTAACTGCATCTGTAATGCTGCCAAGCTGCCTTTTTTTAAGGACCCGATACGCCACTATGTACGCTTGAAAATAAAATGTGGCATTTTGAATGAACTTCTGATAATAAAACTTCAATTTCTGCATCTGAGAATTTTTTTTTTTTCATTCGCATTCATGTCATAATATGATGCCCATATATAGTTGTCAGTCGGATTTAATGGGCGGGATTTATGGTAATTGAGAATGAACGTGCACGCGCATCCCATTTACGACTGATTGGAATTCATTAACACACACACACACATTTCACTATCACATCTGATGTTTACGAAGTATTTGTGAATCAGGAGAAGAGTTTTCGGGAAGGTCTCTTTACACGCAAATCACTCTCATATTTACTCGTATATTTACGAATGTTTCATGAATGAGACCCAATGTTAGCTTAAAATCTGATCAGCATTGCTTTTTCTTTGTCTTTCTCGCAGGCTCTCCTCAAGATAAGAGGCCAGTTCTGGCTGTTGTTCCCAGTCCTGCAACTCCATCATATCCAGCAGAGAGGGAGGGGCTAAACGCATGTACGCTCATATCATATCATATCATACGTATGACAGTACAGTGTGGAAAAAGTCATATATTATTCTCAGTCTCATATATTGCAATTCTTCTCTTCACCCAGACCGCTGCAACCTGACCTTTGACCCTCGTACCGCCAACGCTCACTTACGCCTTTCCCAGAGCAACAGGAGGGCGGAGCATCTGACCTCTGGGCCCCGCCCCGTCCCGGCCGACGAGTCCCGCTTCGACCACACCTGGCAGGTGTTGTGTTTCCAGAGCTTCACTCGCGGACAGCATTACTGGGAGCTGGAGGTGTCCAAACCGTGGGCTTACGTGGGCGTGACGTACCCGAACATACCGCGCAAAGAGAAGGGCAAGCGCTGCATGGTGGGCATGAACGAGCTGTCGTGGAGCCTCCAGCTGGACGAGCGGCAGCTGAGCGCGTGGCACGCCGGCTGCAAGGAGTCCGTCGCGGGACAGCTGCAGCTAAACGCTCAGCCGCTGCGCATCGGCATGCTTCTGGACTACGAGGCCGGTACACTGACCTACTACGGCGAGGGACAGGTCCGGCTGCACGCCTTCCACTGCGCGTTTACACAAGCCCTGCTCCCGGCCTGCTGGATCGGGGAGGGCGTCACTGTTACGCTCTGTGAACCGAGAGCCTGAACATTTGTACGCTGGTTTGTCCCCCAACAGGATTGTTCCTGAGGAAATAGATGCATCCCTACTGTAGCCGGACCCGAGACGCGTGGCCTTCCTTCACCATCATTTACTCCTCGTGTTTTTGAGCTGTGATGAGATTTGATGAGCTCAGGATTTACTCTGGGATGGTGCTGTTAAAGCTCTGGTTGATCTGTGGAGAGTTATACTTCACACAAGTACGTGAACACAGATGCTTTTAGCTGCACTGGCTTGATGTGTCAGTCATCATAAGTTAAGATATTTCCCAAAAAATAATCAATGAAAGTTGTGTGTATATATATATATATATATGTCAAATTGATTTATTGCGATTAATTGTAATTAACATGAAAGTCTGTGTTTACATAATATATGTGTGTGTGTGTGTGTGTATATATTGTTAAATTTATATATATACCATATATGTGTGTGTGCGTGTCTGTATATATACACACAGACACACACACACACATATATATATATATATGTATATATGTGTGTGGGGGGATAAATACGTGTGTGTAATGTATACAGTATGTATACACACTCAGACATATATAATATATACACATATTATGTAAACACAAACTTTTATGTTAGATTTGACAGCACTAATATATATATATATATATATATATATTCCTCATAGTCATGTATACATCATGTATCATCTATCTCCACTTTTGGTCGAAATTGAGTTTTTGACATAATCTTATCCATTAGGTGTTTATTAATGCCTGTGTGGTGTTATTTTTGTAAAAAAAAATATTTTGTTAGTAGTTATTAATAAAATAAAAAGGTTCCATCTCACAAAACAGCAGGGATGTAAAAACTTTGATGCTCAATATCTCAGAACTACCCTAAACGGAGATAGAACCTTATGATTCTAAGCTCACGATATATTATAACAATATATACATATGCATACTGCACAATATACAACACCGGTCAGAGTTTTGGCATAGTCAATATTGTTTGTATTTTAGAACTGCATTTATTGCATTTATTGCATTTATTTAATCAAAAATACCAAACAGTATTATTGTGAAATATTACAATTTAAAATAACTGTTTTCTATTTGCATATATTTCATACTCATCATACTAGAATGATTTCTGAATGATCATGTGACACTGGAGTAAATTAATGATGCTGAAAATTCTGCTTTGATCACAGGAATAAATGACATTTTAAAATATAATAAAGTTCTTTTAAATTGTAATAATATTTCACAGTGTTACTGTAAATCTGCTGACATCTGTGTTCACGTACTTCTTAAGGTGTGTTTCTGGCATATTCTTACTTGTGGCCAAATCATGGAACTTTTAAGAAGTTGAGTTTGCATTTAAAGGCCAGATGTGCACTTTGTGTTTATGTTGTGTTCAAGAGACATCACAATTATTATCTGCTGTATCCGCTGTAGTATAGGATTCATATTTTTAGTTTTTAAATATTGAGAGTCAGATCTGTTCGCCTGCAGTCGCAGAGGACAAAATATCTATGTTGTGTCCATTTCCATGTTCAGTTTTCATGTTGGATAGGATTCTCGTAGTAGTGATTTTGTATTTGTATGTATTTCTACTGTATCAGTTTTAGTAGTATTTTATTTTTGCTGAGTTTAATGTGTCTATCTTTCGGTCATTATCTTTTAACATTTCAGATACTGACATCTTAAATTATGAAATTAAATTTCATACTCTAGTCATAAACTCTAATTTCATCGCCATTGGCTGTGTTCAGAATAGAGTACTTGCATATTAGTACACACTATGTGCCATATATACTAAAAATAATATTATTTGTTATGCAACAGTAATGCTGCTTTGCTTGTTGCTATTTTAATTTTGCAACTTATCCCTTTACATAAATGAAATGAGGTAATTTTGTCAAGAAGGACAAAGTTTTTTATTGTTTTTTATTTGTTTTTATGAAAAACACAGTTGATTACGGTTCATTTATCACTTTTTAATTGAAAGTATGGGATGCAGTGTCTTTTTCAGTTTACTCTGTTGTATACAGTATTTTCTTGGCAAACTTATGTGTGCACAGTATATATAGCCAATGCATAATGCTATTCTGAACATAGCCAATCTATAAGGAGACATTGAGTGTTTGAGCACTGTGTGCGTTATGGGATCATAATTAAGGGAACTCCTTCCTGTTATAGCGTACTTGAGGTCTGACTTTATGCACTAATAACTACTAGTACAAGGTAGAATTGTGCTTAATATTGGGAGATTGTTTGAATATGAGAAAAATGATTTACTTTGCTTGCACAAGCCATTTGGGCTACATGAGTGAATGGAAAACTGGAAAAGCACATCCTTTTATTGGGAATAATGAAGTCATTCTGTATCGTCTGGTCCCGCTGTTCACAGGTTGATCTCCTGAGAGACTTTTACCGATTAACGGGACCTTCTTTGTCTGCTTTTGAAACCCTGGACATTAGGTACATAAATAATGAGCACAAGACATTCATAAAAGATTCTCAAATGAAATGCATCGTTCCACTTGTGTACATGTTTACTTTAATAAAATACACTTCAAATAACAATACAGTCAAGACCATGCGTAACTGATTAATTGTATAATTAAATAAATCAGGGAAAAGGTGAATCAATAAACGAGACTGAAGGTGCATCTTTAGCCTAACTGCTGCATGCTACAGAGACGCCAAGACAAGAACACACTGCTGCAGAAAACACACGAGATTCATCAGGATATACTTTGCAGTGAACATGTAGTGAAGGTGATTTTAGACACAGTTGTTTGGATTACATTTTTGAAAATTACTCCAAAAGAAGCCAAAGTGGAACTCGCTGCACAATACAAGTTTTAGTTAAGCGCTGCATTTGACGGAGTGCGCAGTAGAGGAGCGTTCACATTGATTTGCAGCGAATAAGTGTCCGGAAGTGTTTCATTTTTTAAAGGCATTTGAGACGACTGCTTGAGTGTTTGTTTAACAAGTGAGCAGCAACAGCCAGTGAAGCTCATGTGATCTTGCATCTAATATAGTCGGATGTTAATGAGAAGCGCTGTTAATGAGAACATCCACGTTTTTGGGCCTTGTCCTAAACTCTTGTGCAACTAGCAAAATACTTCTCAATCTATCAATCTATACAAAATCAGGTCATAAATAAATTTAGAAAAAGCTCAATCATTTACTGTCGGATTTTCTTTCCGGCTGGAAATCTTAACAGTAGGTCCCTTTCATTCACGAGCTATGAACTCATTAACGTGTCTCTCTCGTCCCTCTACACAGGCCAGGTCATATTAATGCCCCCTACTGGAGCCCCAGTCGCCGCGAGTCTGTTCGGGTGGGCGTTAACTGTGGCGGGAGACGGTGAGAGGATGAAATGAAGGGTACTGAGAGAGGAGAGGATGTGCGCTCGCTCGCTGCAGACGCGCGTCTACTGGTTCTTCTTGTCATCGGGTGGGGAGTAGGGTGGGGGTTTGTCCTTCAGGAAAAAACAAAACAGTATCCTCAAATTATTACCCAAGTTAATATTTTCTTTGCTTTGATGCAGCTCTAGACTCTGGACTTGAGCAATAACGTATATGAACGTTGACATGTTTAACTTGGGTACTTTTGAACTTTGTTATATGAACTTGGTTAACAGGTTGGACCTGGTTATATATGAACGGTTAACAGGATAGACTTGGTTAACAGATTTAACCTAGTTATATATGGACTTTAACACATTTAACTTGGTTACATATGAACTTTATTATAAATGAACTTGGTTGGACCTGGTTGTATGTGGACTTTGTTTACAGGATAGACTTAGTAAACTGGTCGAACCTAGTTATATATGGGCATATGAACTTGATTTACAGGTTGGACCTGGTTATATATGACTGTTAACAGGATAGACTTGGTTAACAGATACCTAGTTATATACGAACTTTAACACATTTAACTTGGTGCATATGAACTTTACTAACAGGTTGATAAAAGGTTGGACCTGGCTATATATGGATTGTTAAAGTCCCCCTGCGGTGAAAATCAAGCTTTTAATGTTGTTTATATGTCTATCTGTAATGTGTTTAATGTGCTTTAAGATAAACCATGTGTAAATTCATAAGTCGACAGCATTGCTGAGTATTTTCTGCTTAAAACTGCAGTGAACCAAAGACAGTCTCAAAAACACGGTTTGAAATCGCTGGTGTTTCTGACGTCACAAACTACCTTGTAACCAATCAGATCAACGTGTGACAGTGGATCTCTGAGCTGTGTGAGTGAGTGAGTGGAGGCGGGGCTCATTTGCATATTCATAGAACCGCGTATACTAAATGAGGCAAGGGTGTCGAGTTACATTCAAGCTATGTTAATACATGAAGATTTTTTTTCAAGGAAAAAACTTTTAAATATGTAATTTTGGTGATCAAAGATGAGTTTTAATGGATAAAATGATTAACTACAGGGGGACTTTAAGAGGATAGACTTGGTAAACTGGTTGGACCTGGTTATATATGGACTTTGACACATTTAACTTGGTTATATGAACTGTTTACAGGTTATATGGATTTTATTAAAAAGCATGGTTAACAGAGATTAGTGAACTCACCTCCGGCAGGTAGACCCGCATCGGAGCATAAGTAGTCGCAGTGGAACTCGCTGCAGCTTCAGCTGCTTTTGCCTCCGCTAGAACAATAATTACAGTAATTTTAATGGGAGCAAAAATTAATTAACAAGAAGTCAGTAAAACAGTAGTGACATCTTAAAGGGGCACTTGGCAACTCTAGTCATTTCTTCGCTGATTTTTATCTTATTATCGGAGCCGGCCAACTTTATCGTGTGGAGCTATGTCTACCGAGTGGGTAATACATCATACACAGTATCATAGAATTATGTCGAAATTGCCATAAAGCAGTTCGTGTTTCTCGCTCGTTCTCGCTTCTCACGAAACTTCTATTTCCAACTTACCAGGACGTTATTCCTCATGTTGCAAGGTTGGTTTTCCACCTGGGAATGCTGGGGGGAGCGGGGAAAGTCACCATTCTCTCCAGAACGGGTTATTGAACCATTCAAATGATTTCTAAACGGTTTTATTAAGTTGAAATAGTTGCCAAGTGCCCCTTTAAACGGCTCGTCTGCTCGGAGGAGTTTTAGCTAGTGGAAAAGCTAGTTTTAGCTCATACCTGCAGGGGTTCTGGGCAGGTCTGGGTCGAGAGGAGCTTGGTCCACTGGAGCTGTATATGGGGGAGGAGGCATGTAGGCTGCGGGTCCATCAAACCAGGAGCCACCTACAGGACCCAAGCGTACAGCAGAAAGTTTCAATGCACTGTTTAGCAGTGTATCGGCATCAATAGATAAGGTGTGTTATTACCTGGAGGTGGAGGTCCAGGAAAGACATATCCAGGAGGAGCGGGACCGGAATAAATGCCATTAGCAGGAGGAGGTGGAGGGTACGCATACGCCCCGTTCGCCATGTAAGGACAGCCGAAATTTCCAGTCACTGGTTGCCCTCTGGATGCTGAAATGAATGAGAGAGACTGAAGGTAATGCTTCCACATCGAATCAACAGTTTGATGCTAAAAAGAGTTAGCCTGACTTCGTCATACTCATATTCTAGTCAGAATGTGAGTCTGATACTGCTCCATAGGGCTTTGATTATGAGGCGTGTCAATCTGGGGCTCAGGTCACAGGTTCGCGTTTAAAGTCTGTTTAGAGAGAACGCCGTCGTCTTAGTGGCCCCTAATGTAATAACAAATGATACTTTTGCTGGAAGTGAATCAATCAAAACTAACTTTAGCTGGAAATAACATTATTCAAAAATCGCTATAAAGCCAAAACAATCTCTGTTACCGTAAATTGTATTTATCTCTGTAAAGCTGCTTTGAAACAATCTCCATTGTTAAAAGCGCTATATAAATGAAGATGACTTGACTTGACTTAACCGAACCAGGAAAAAAAAAACTCTGCACTCAATTGGATAGACCTACAACCAATCAGAGCAACGCAGTAAGTGACGTATGTTGAGCTACGCATATTTGTCAACAGAACTCAACTGCACGCATGCTGGAAGAAGTAGTAAAATAATGAGTGTTGCTTCTTTTATTTGGTCCTCCATGAGTGTGACCAAAGGAGAAACCACAACGACCACAGGGTTTTCATTGTGTCCCATCTTCTTAGTGACCATCGGAGCCAGCTGATAAATTAAACTTTTGCCGAATCCCGTAGGAAGGACGGCAAACACATCTTTGCGATCGACAAATGCCTTGATTGCAGTTCTCTGTTCGTCTTTTAAAATGAATGCGCTGTCGATTTCTTTTACAACAGACGCGATAGCGGGATCTATACATCTCAGTTCTCCAGCTGCAGTCATCTCTGAGGGAAACCAGTTCAACCCAAGCGCTCTTTGATACCGTGATGATTACGTATCATCTGTCCATCATCGTATAAAGCCCGCCCTGGCAATTTGATTGGCCCGACTAATTCTGAACCGATCATAATTACTCCTCAATGGATCGAGTCCAGACCGTACTTCCCGACCAAAAAATGTTGTGGGCGGGGTTCGTGCTGACATCCAGGCTAGAAAAGAGTGTCTTTTTAAATCAAATTATATTTTAAAACTGTTAAAATGTCCAAAACAAACGTACCCTGTGCTGCCACCTGTAGCATGTACTGTCCAAACTCAATCGCTCCTCCAGCAGAAAAGATCAACTTGAAGGTTGCAGAACCTTCCCAGCCACCTGGAACGGGGATGGAAACACACTTTTAGGGTTAGATATCAAGAACTGGTTCCACATTTCCAAGAACAGTGAATTCGATAAGACACGTGCATTTCCTTCGATAAGACCTCGAGACTAGATTACTGTAATGCTTTATTAGCTGGTTGTCCTGCATCTTCAATAAACAAGCTACAGTTTGTCCAAAATGCAGCCGCTAGAGTTCTTACTAGATCAAGAAAATATGACCATATAACACCGATTCTATCATCACTTCACTGGTTACCTATAAAGTTACCCCCAAAGGAGGGAGAGCATTTTCACATTTAGCTCCGAAGCTCTGGAATAGCCTTCCTGATATTGTTCGTTGCTCAGACTCGTTCTCCCAGTTTAAAACTAGACTAAAGACGCATCTATTTAGCCAGGCATTCATATAAATTTTTATCTTACAGTTACCGTAAATTCGGCCTCTACTTCATAAACGCCAGAGGAGAACTGGCCCCGACTGAGCCTGGGTTCTCCCAAGGTTTTTTTTCTCCATTGGGTCATCTAATGGAGTTTTAGGACACCATCGGGTCACTTGATGGAGTTTTTCGGTTCCTTGCCACTGTTGCCTTTGGCTTGCTCAGTTGGGGATATTCAAATTAAATGACCCATTATACCACTGATCAGCTCTACCAAACTTGGATGTCTTTTTCCAGTAATAAACAAACACTGTTAAGTTGTTTTGATTGATACTGTGAAGCAGCTTTGATACAATCTGTATTGTGAAAAGCGCTATATAAATATATTTGACTTGACTTGACTTGACATTTCGATTCCTCTTATGTATTAATTTGTGTGCATTTTAATATGACTTTAATCCATTCAGGCGCAAGAAGACCCGCACGCTGTTTTCTGTTCTAGTACACATCCAAAATGACGTGCGCAAAGAAAACTGCCTCTCATACAGTTCCTGAAAAGAGACATGATTTTACACTTGAACGGATGAATACACACAAAAATATTTCAAAATATCCTCGTAAACACAGTCAGTTATTTCTTAAGTGAACGTAAACCGTTGACAAAGAAAACACATGTGTAACAGTATATTGGACCCGTGCAGCTCTTAAAGTGACAACAGCCTAATATTCCTGCTGCCGTCTCTATAATAACGTTAATCAAACAACAAAAGACAGAGAAAATGCTCTTTTCAGTAACTATATTTGTAATGCATATTTTTTTTTTTATAAAGTGGAGTGTTATTTTACATTTGATTACAGTTTCTGTACCTGACAATCTTAAAACACTGTTTATTTCAATCGTATATTTGTTCAGTTGTTATTATTTGTGCGATTGCTAATTTTTTATGTTCTTTTTTTTATTATTGAGTGTTTGTCTTTAATAATGCTTGAAATGTATATTAGTTAGGCTAGTTGTTTTTACTATGGTATTTTTAAACCACAGGCAAAAGTTCCTTGTGTAAGTGTGTTTAGTGTTTGATTTTTGTTCATAGATACAGATTCAGATACAATTAAATGTTTTGCAATAAAACTAAGTTTTAAGTTTTTATTTTTACCTTATTGTAATCGAAATTAGGAATCGATGAGCGGAATCAGAATCGTTAAAATATCAAAATTCAACCCTACACACATTAGTGTACTTGTATGCCATAGTCTTCTTTACTTTGCCACGAGTACACAACTTTAGATTACCTGAAACCAGGACTCTTCATATACTTTCTTCAGATTATCCAAATGAAAACTCAAGGAGAGTCTTGATTCTGATCTGACTACTCTTTCTTTTTGAAAACGCCGACAGACACATTTTGTCGGATCAGTGTGTTACCTCTGTTGGCTACGGTTGGAGCTTGTTTTCTCCGATTGAACATGCTGAATCAGAATAAGAATATCTGAGAAGTGACTTTCTGTAATCTGGTGACTGTCGGCGTATTTATTTATTTCGTTTCAGTTTTGGACTGTGATTGAGTCTATTCCCTCACTGCTCACATCAGCGGTGTTATATTTAGGTTCGGTGTTCTTACCTCCAGGCTCGGCGCTGATTGTGCCCTTGACGTAGTTTGCGCCAAGCACTGGCTGTTTGACCTCACAGCCCTTTATAAGATAAAAGGGCATCATGAAAGACTGCAGAGGGTCCTTCCCTTTAGTCAAGAAGATCACCTAAAGACCCAACCACATGAGCAGTTACAATAGTGATCATAGTGTGGGGAACTGAGGTTATTTACAAACACACTGAGAAAGACCAAATATCAAAACTGTATGTATCAGATGCATCCTACAGCCAATCACAAGACCGTAAAGGCCAATCTACTCCACAATGGATTGCTCAGGTTTGGGGTTTACCATATTAACATTTGTTTAAAGATTATGTACTATTTTTTTAAGTAACATGATGATCTGAACTCTTTTTCTTAAATCACCTACCCTGTAAGGTGTCAGGTAGATGCTTCCCTTCTTGCTTTTTCTGAAGGGTTCTGGCAAGCGTTCTGCGTCACTGAACACCAGCTCCACATTCTCATATGACATCAAGACACTGTAGGAAAACACATTCGGTTGAATACAGTCAGCACTTTCTGTGCCAACATGATCAAAGCCAGCTTTGCCATCGCAAACACACGGTAAAAAAAGTTGTAAATAAAACAAGTAGATTGAGTACATTTTACAATAAAACACTATTTCAGTCTTTACTATTTCACGCTTAATTCAATGTGTTTCACGTTTCTTTGTAATTATTTGTGAAATGTTCTGAGTGAAATTCAATCAATCCTACACCTAGATATTTTTTAACCACCTTCAGTGGTTCTGCTAAAATATGATTTAAGGTTTTTTATCCAAATTGTTTATCCTTGACTTTTGTTAATAGTTTTCAAGAATACCAGCAAGCATCAAACAAAGGACATTTGTCTCTAGTGTTAAAATAGTTAACTATAAATAGCAATACATATAAAATTACCTATTGAAAATATAGATTCATATATTTTTTATTATAAATAATAAAAGTAATAATAATTATATGAGTGAATTAATATTGTGGAAGTAATTTAGGAAATACAATTTAAGATTTATTTAAGTGTAACGAAGACGGTTATTTTAAGAGTAATAAAGAAATAACGTAATGTAGAGGAAATTAAAATAAATGAAAAAGACCATATCAGCCGCGGTATCAAATATATTTAGGTAGTTACTTGTTTACTATTTTTGAAATGTTAGAGATATGATGTCATTCCTGGAGTTAGCTATAAGCTCAGTCTTTATCAGTTGGGTAATAAGATCAAGCTATTGTGAAACAGTGTAAGAGCATGTCATTTCTTTTAGAAGAAGGTTAAGAAGATTATTGTTGAACTACCGCGACTACACACAGCACTTGTTCAAAACAGAAATAATACTAATCCTACTATGGCAAGGGCTTAGCTCATTAATATTAATTACGTAACGTAGAATTCGACTTGTGGGCCTGGCTGTGATTGGCTGAAAGACAAGAGGGGGCTTGACTAAATGAATATTCATAGGCTCAGATTTCGCCATAGTATGATTTTGAAAGCTGCGCAAGATCCATGTTTTATATAGATAGCAACTTATCTGACTGAATATGAATTTAATTTTTATTATTTAAACATAATATTGCATATAATAAGTACATAAACGACAGACAATCTGATTACATTGCAAATTGAATAGAATGGGTGTGATCTAACGGTTCACGCGATGTTATCCAACACATGACACTGTGTAGACTGTACTAGTCATATTAGTATGCATACAAGAACACATAACATACAATAATCAATTCAATAGGTCATTTTGGACAAATCCGTGAAATAGCACAGTACCAGAAAAAAATAATAACGTAATAACAATCACTGAGTCTGAATTCGTGACAATACCTTTCGCTGTTGTTGATGATAACTCCTCCAGATTCAGAATGATTGCTGTTAAGAGCCATGTTTGATTTCTGTTTGCGTAAAATTGACGTTCTACATTCTACGAGCGGAGCTCAATGATCCACCTGCACTTCCGCCATAGGTCACGCCCCCCGGTGACGTCATTATCGGGTCTAGTTTGAGACGTTTCCCGAACCTTCTCGTTCTCAAATAAACAGTTTGTTTTAATCTAATCTAATCTAATCTTATCTTATTTTAGATAGATAGATAGATAGATAGATAGATAGATAGATAGATAGATAGATAGATAGATAGATAGATAGATAGATAGATAGATAGATAGATAGATAGATAGATAGATAGATAGATAGATAGATAGATAGATAGATAGATAGATAGATAGATAGATAGATGGATAGATAGATAGATAAATGAAATACACTCGTCAAATATCAGATCCTGTTTGGAAATAAAACCTATTTTAATTATAAGAGATTCATCACTAACGTTTATTAATTAAAATGACCCAAACTCAATTGCTGGGGTAAAACTTAAATAACCACGTAAAATATCGGGGCAATATTAATATGTCTATATATATAGGTCAAACATTATTATTTAAAACATGATTCAGCGTCATTGCTTTCTTAATAAATAATAAATGATTTTCACGCAGCACCCCCTCTGTAAAATATGGTATCTTCTGCTTCCCCAACACAGGGATCTGAAACAGACGCCATTTTGGATCTTGTGCAGGGGGGTATTGTGCATGTTGCCCATACGTCTACAGTGAGCCAAGATGGCCGATAAGACTCATCAGTTTCCTACCATGTGGATAACACAAAACGTCGCTGTGCGTGAACTCGTGTCTGTTTCCTGCGTGCTATAGTGAAGCAGCATGGCTTCATCTGCGAAGCGGCGAGCTATTGAAACGGGTCTAAACCCCCAAGACAGCAATGAAAGCTCGGACGAGGGTCTGGAAGACTCTGGGGACGAGGGAAGTGAAGATTCAGAAGAAGAAATAAACGAGGTAAGTTGCTAAAATGTAATTGTCGTTGCAACCAAAAAAATTCGTGATGTGCAGGCCAGGCTGCTTTTTCGTTTAAACACGCTGTTGAGCAATATATGTATTTTGATTTGTGTTTAGGAGGTCATCGTGGATTTTGAAGCACACGCGATATCTGACAACGACTTTCATGGCATTAAAACCCTTCTGCAACAGGTAACGTTAACGTTACGTTACGGACGTCAGTGTTTGTATTGCACTAAATAAACAGAAGTTTGCACTTCAACAGAGAGTAAAATGGCAACAATGAATATCCATACGTTACATACACACACACAACATACATTATTTATATCTATATTTATATACATATATGTATGTATGTTTTTTTGTTTTTCCAGCTGTTCCTGAAGTCTCACGTGAACATCTCTGATCTCACTGACATCATCATTCAGCAGAATCACATCGGCAGTGTCATCAGGGTGAGACTCATTTAAATAATAATATAATTTGACTTTCCATAACTGTAGATTTAATCAACAGATTTACAGTAAATTCACGTACATTCATTGTAATCAGGGTGGTCCGTGGAAAGGTTTAGAGAAAAATATGAAAATAAGTTTTAAATAAAATGTAATTCTGTAATTAATCACAGCTAACATTAACGTTTTTTTTTTAAATATATTTTTATATTGTAATAATTTCACATTTAATCTCCAAATAAATGTAGAAACAAAGACCGTAGCCTATATTTTAAATATTTGTTTAATGTCAGTGCCATTCAGCATTAGAGTATATTTGAAAGCTATAAATTTGAACATTTATTAATAGGCATTAAATATTATAACAACTTTTAATTTAAGTGAACTTAAAACAATCTTCACATAAACCCATTGAAATAAATGTCACATTTTCCTCTGCCTTCAATATATAAGGGCTTAATTTTTTCTTTTGCCCTATTCAGACCGCTTCAGATTTTTACTTGTTCTGTCAAAATGCACAAGAAGTTATTGTTTTCGTTGTTTTTGACCCATGTAACCTTGTAAACAGTGCTTTAAGATATCCAGGTAGGTCAAACAGGTATGGTATATACAGAAATTGAATAAAGTTATCAAACACTGCAGTCTTCACTGCATAAATTATAAATTAAATATAGATGAATCCTTATTAAAGCTGCCAAAGTTATTTAGTCAAGAGCAGTGAGGTATTTTCTCTTTTTCTTGTGTTCTTTGATTATCATTAATGACAGACAGCAGCAGGTTTATTAGGCTGCTGTCACTTTAAGACCTGACACACATACCATTTTCTCAACTCTTTACGTTAATTTACATTCATTATCATATAGGATGATCATATTTGGGGGTCCGTGGCATCTGAAAAAGTCCCTTCCTTAAAATACATTGATAATAACCATAATAATATTCATTAAATGTATTGAACATCTGGATTAATCTGGTTGTGTCCTTAATGATCATATTATCAATGCATGTTTTTGAATATTTTCTATGTTTTTGCTCCAGCAAGCTGAGGTACCGGAGGACAGTGATGACGAGGGCGACCCAGATGAGGTGTTTGGATTCATCAGCATGGTGAACATCACAGAGAGACAGGTGAGAGGCTGATAATACTGAATGCTAACATGAATATGCTTTATTTTTGGGATCTGGAATGTACAGAAATCTGTTTGTTCCTGTCTGGTTTTCTGATGGCTGTGTGTGTGTGTGTTGAACAGGGTGTGGAGTGTCTGGAGAAGCTGAAGGACATGATTATAGAGCAGTGTGTGAATTCCAGCTCCCTGGATGTTCAGGAGAGGTTTGAGCAGCTTCTGTCGGGTAACGGACCCTCAGTCGGGCTGCTGCTGAGCGAGAGATTCGTCAACGTCCCGCCACAGATCGCCCTACCCATGCACAAACAGCTCCAGTAAGTGTTCAATAGATCTAACCAGTGTGTGGATCTGAACATAATGCAGCTGCGTGTTACAAATACAGCATGAAATAGGGTTAAACCATTCAAATTGTTAAAAAGGTGATTGAAATATTGAATAAATACTGTTATAAATTTTTTTGTGAATGAACAAAAAAATGATATTTTATCAAAATCTCAACAAGCAGGTATCCCACTTCTTAAATAGTGGCACTTTAACAATTACCACCACCAGTTTTTCCACTGTCATCCAACTAGCAGATGCACAAATATCCGTCACTGTTGCTGATACTCTCATGTTGTGTCAGGCTGAAGGTGTTTTGATGTTATTGACTGTTTGCGGGCAGCACTAATACCATCACGTGGCTTTTTAAGGATCTTATGTAACAGTGTCTCTTATGTGGGTCAACGCGTAGATGAGCAAAATTAAATCCCTGAATCCATCTGGAAAAATTGAGCCGAGTGAACTGTGACCACTGATATACAATGTTTTCTGAAATTATTCAGTTCAGCTAGAACATTTAATATCTGCTTGACAGAACTAGTTTGAGGTGTGTCTGATTTGGAGAAGTAATTATTTAGCGCATGTTGATGAAAATGCTGCTGTTTGGTTTTACAGGAAGGAAATGGCCGAAGCACAGCGGACCAATAAACCCAGCGGTAAATGCCAGTACTACTTGATGATCAGCAAAACTTGTAAACCAGCCAAGAAGAGCATATCTGGTCAAGCTCAGCCCAAAGAAGAGATCCGGTTTGTGAACGATGAGGAGGAGTTCTTCTATGAGGTAGGCAATATGAAAGCAGAATTGACGTTTGCTTTATTAATGGTTTGATTGGGAATGATTCAGTTTTGAACATCTCTTAAACACTTTCTTTTTTTCCACAGCAAGCCACGCTGAAGTTCAGCTACTCCGTTCAGGACGAGGCCGATTCCTGTGCGACTGGGAAGTGGTCGTACGACGACGTACCACTGAAACCGTTCCGTACCGTGATGGTGATCCCGATGGACAGGATGGGAACCATCATAGCTAAAATGACTGAATATCTGACCGTCTAAACTGAACTCTGCTCCTCTTGTGGTTTATTTTTAAACGTTGTTCAAGAAAAGAGTTTCGATGAGATGTTAAATGTCCCAGGTCGAGTTTTCAAGCTCGTAATAAAATGTTTAAACTGGCCACAAAACAGATTGATAACAAATCACCCCAAACCAGTGAAATCATTTATTAATTCTGTACATAATCAGTTGAAATTACCCATAAAACAAATGACCCAAACAGGATTCTTGAGTGTCTTTTTCAAAAGGAACAATACAAAACATTTGAGCTCTATTTACACAAGCATGTTTTGACGAGGTCACTGTATGACGCATCGGTCATGTGATTCGGCCTCTTCTGTCTGTGGCGCAGCTGGTTGAGGCTTCGCTCTCACGCGCCCCGTCCTGTCTCTGTCCAGAATAAGCTGCAGGATCTCTTTGCTTTCACTAGGGGGCAGGTTACAGAAAAAGTACTGTGGTGCCATTTGAGTGAACCTGAAAACACAGAAGAGAACGAGACTGAAAATATGCAGGCATACTACGGTTTGTTTTTAAAAGAAAGGAAACCTTGTATTCAGGAGGGACAATTACATTTATTTAGACATTAATGCTGTTCTTTTGAACTTTCTATTCATCAAAAGTATCCTGGGAAAAAATAGTTTCCACCAGAATATGAAGTATCAGAAGTGTTTTTTGAGCAGCATATTAGAATGATTTCTGAAGGATCATGATGCTGAAAATTCAGCTTTGATCACAGGAATAAATTATATTTTACAATATGTTCACATAGAAAACAGCTATTTTAAATTATATTTCACAATATTACTAGTTTTATGGTATAATTGATCAAATAAATGCAGCCTTGAGGAACAGAAGAGACTACTCTCAAAAACATAACTTAAACTTTTGAACAATGTTATGGCAATATTCATCAACATTTTTTGATTGAACAGCCAAGAGTTAAAGACATTATCACAGCAAACTGATTTTATTAGAGGTACAAAAATAATTAGTTTTTATTTCCAAAGATGATAATTAGACACCTTGGCTGAATTAAACATGGAACTTGAGATCATCCATACAACAGATTAAAATGTTTATTGTTGCATGAAGTGTTCGGTTTTAATTTTGTTGTCAGTGTTCATTGTGCTGAATTCATTAATTAGCTAGTATTTACCATTTATATTTATAATATAAGTATTTATAAAAAGCTAGTATTGCGTTCTGGACACCAGAATTGTAACATTTATAATAATAATATCCAGGACGTTCACAATGGTTGTGTTTACATCTGCTAAATGATTAAATGTACAAGAATAGCACAGGTGAGCTGAAGCTGATCTGGTTTAATCCTTATATCATGGGATGTGTAATCTGAAAAGCTCTCCATTGTAAATCCAGATTACTAATGATGGCACATCAAAAAACACGATTACTCTGGATGACGTGGAATAATAATGTTTGTAGCAGTTGAGGACTAAAGAAAGAGCTGTACGTTGATAGGAGGAATACTTACGCCTGCGGCGAGACCTGTGTGACGGTCCGAATGCAGTTGTTGTCGGAGAGGTTGTACTCGTGGAACAGAACCCACTCCGGCAGACCCAGTTTATGAGCCTTTGCTCCATAACCAGACAGACGGTGAACCTGAGCCACGTGTTTATTCAGCAGCATGAAGTAATTCCCCGAGCCGTCCACGTCTCTGGCGATCTGGAGAACACAGGAGACAGACGAACGAGAGCTTCGTAAAGCACATCAATGACTGACACTTCAAATTCAAACACAAAACCTACTTAAATAAGTACATTGAGTCCTGAGATAAAGAAATATCCTGATTAAAAACAGGCTGTTATTGTTTGTTTTAATTCTAATCTCATAAGTGGAAACTGATTCCCATGAAATGCCACAACAAGCAGCCTTTAAACTTCAAGGGCTCTGGAGTTATCATGTGAAAAGGGCTATGAAATTAGTGTAAAAACAAATTTTGTATATATATACATATATTATGAAATTTTACTAACATTGTAAATGGACAGTTCAATGTGAACAGTGAATTAATTAACACTTTTTTTACTTAAATATGTACATATAAATAAAAGCAAAAATGGAAAATGGTAATAAAAATTCACAAACATTATAAGTGGACATCAGGGAAATTATTGAATGAATGAATTAAATAAATACTTTTTAGAACAACTGTATAAATAGAGTTCAAAACATATGAACAAATGGTTGGTAAACTGGGGAAAAGTGGACCTTTGGAAAAACAATTATAAAAACAAAAAAATAACTGGAAATGAATAAATAAAATATATAATATTTATTAAAGAAAATAAAAACATGTATTTCTCCATTTATTTACAGAAAACATGGTTATGAAACTTTACTAACATTATAAGTGGAATTCAGGGAAATTAATAAAATAAAACAAATAAATAAAATAAAAAAACAAATATAGCTCAACTTGTGATTTTTATTTTAAACTAATAAAATTAAAACTGGAAATGAATGATAAAAATGAATAATATTAATTTAAATAATTAAAAAAATAACATTTTGTGCTCGATGTATTCATTTATGGAAAAAGGGTTATAAAGTTAAAATAAAAATACCAATAAAATAAATGAAATAAAAATTTAGCTAAAAAATAATGGGAAAATCTAATGTTAAAAAATTGACTTCAGGGAAATAAATAAAATGTATAATACACATATTAAACCGATAAACATTATACATGTATTTTAATTAATATACAAACATACGCAAGACATAAATGGTCTCTTCAGACCTGCATGAAGTAGCCAGCGAGCAGCGCCCTCTTGATATTGAGTGCGTTGGTCTTGGTGCCAAAGGCAGGTTCAGAGAGGGGAAGCTCGATCCTCTTCAGGATGTCAGTGAGTTGGGCTCTGATGGCGTCTGCCGTCTGCAGCGAGGCACAGCTCAGGAAATATTCCTCACACCACTGCTCCTGGCTGAAATCTATCACACACACACACATCTGTCACAAGGGCTCGCTCCTCCACCTGAGCATTCATGAGTCAAAGCGTGTCGCTCACACGGTTCCTTCTGGCTGCGTTTGAAGGTGTTGTAGATGTTGATCAGGGTGAAGTGGTCGCCCTCGGGATGCTGGAACTTCATATGACACCGCATGACTTCTGTTACCATGCCAACAGGAGGCTCAATGAAGCAGCTTGGTGCTGATGGAAACAGATGTAAATTATTACATAAGTGGGATAATGTACATTCCAGCCGGTTATCTCAGAATAAACCCCCGCCAGGGTCTTGCATCAGGGGTTTATTCTGCGATAACAACCGGCTGGATGTACATAATCCTGCTTATTACACAGCTACTTGCCACATAAGTAAATAATTAGACACGAAATATCGATTTGAGTTGAAATATTTTATTAGGTCTTTAAACGCAAAGCTTGCGCGGAGAGAGCAGATGCAGCGTGGCAAGTTCAAACTAGACGGACATTTAAGAGATACGGTATACAGTCATACCACTTATTACACAGCATTTCACCACATAAATTATTATATATTGATTTCAGATTAAACTGTTTTAAAATCGTACCTGTTTGTATCTTATAATCCAACAGTGTACAAAACGATAGTCACAAAATGGCGGGAGCGTTTGTATGAAACAAGAGAGAGCGAGTCCACGATACTGGATGGCATAATTAAATAACTGTACACAAAATACTGATTCGACTGAGTTTGAATATTTTATTAGCTCACCAAACGCAAAACTTCCACGAAGAAAACACGATTCCTAGCGAGCGTACAGCGCTGCTGACTTCAGTGACCCGGATGAGCCTGTGTTATCTGTTTTCAGCGGTTGATTTCTGGGAATAACATACCGCTGGATGGCGCGATTGACCAATCAGAATCAAGTATTCCACAGAGCCGTGTAATACATGTTAAAACATACTTTTTTTTCCCCCGGGAGGAGTTAAAAGATTACCTGTGAGCATTGCAGCGATGGTTAGCATCTCACTGGCACAGTCAAACTCACAGGACGCCAGCAAAGCTTTGGCCATCTGTGGATCCAGAGGAAGCTCTGACATGATGATGCCCATCTCAGAGAGGTTTCCATCATTGTCCAAAGCAGCAAGATAATCGAGCTCCTCCAACGCCTGCATGAGCCCCTCCGGATCTGGAAGGGAAAAAGTGTAAAGCAACGAACATCATGCAAATGTACTGCAAGTATGAAACAAGTGTGGGCAGTTGTCTCTGGCATTTCTAAAAAAAAAAAAATCACTTGATTTAAAGTCCCCATGAAATTAAAAAATGAAGTTTTTGGGCTTTTAGTATGAATATGTTAGCCTTATCGTTATCTATTAGCTAGTGGGTTCCAAAATTCGCATTTAGAACATATAAGCATTCAAAACTTATTCTCTCACTTCTATGGAAGCCCATTCCCGCCACATAAGAAAAAAAAAAATCGAGCATTCTTAAGTCATAATTATGACATACAAAGTCGAATTTATGACTTACTAAAACGAAATTATGACTTTAAAGGTCATAAGTATGAGATAAAAAAAGTCGAAATTTTGACATGCCAAATCGAAATTATGGGATAAAAAAAAAAATCGAAATTATGACATTAAAAATCGAAATTATGACTTTCCGACTGGCACTCTCATTGTTCTGACGCGACCCGACACATGATGAATTATGAACAGATTAAGGAGTACTTCCAGTGGCGGTTCTAGACCATTTCAACTGGGGGGCCAAGCTGGGGCCAGTTGTACTGTTAGAGGGGCCAGATTTATTGTTGTCATATCATTTTCTGCACTGCTGCAGGCATTAACAGGCAAAATACCATGTTTATTATCATTCAACAATGTATTTGCATTTCCATTATATTTTTACATTTGCATTACATATTCAGTATTAGTCCGTCACAGTAACTGAAATTGACATGATGTCCTTCTTTCTCTTCATTTTGGTGAGAACAACAGAGCAAATGCTTATTAATTCATTTACTGAAACAACTGATTTGCTAGGTAACTACGTCTAACCGTTTACAGGGTTCCTGCACACTTTTTAAAGTCAAATTTAAGGCTTTTTAAGACCTGAAGAAATCAAAATTAATACCGTACATTAGGGGTGTGCAATATTGACAAAAATACATCTCAATATTTTCAACGTTTTGTTGATAATAATTAGATGATATTTTACTGATTGTGTTTTTGTGCTGGTGCCATGGCTGGTTTAGGCCTGTTGACAGCTGACTCACAAAG